AATGGGATGGTTGAAGTAGAAGGGTTGGCGGTTTATTTTCCTGTCTCCACTTAGAGATGGGGATTACAAAACACTGCCGATGCACAGACAGGTGCAAATGTTTGCCAGTCCATGGAAGTGCCTTGTAAGCCACACAAATCCTATTTGGAAATTGAATTGCATTTGCATATATCGATAGTTGTAGCAATTTGTAAGCCTGCCACTCTGTGTTTTTGTACCCTCTTAACCTCCTTTAATTTTGTAGCATAATCTATCATAGATTTTTGCATTGTTGCACTGATATTCTATAATTGTATGTTACGTGGTTACAATTGAATGTATAGCAAACGAGTCGTGACAATTTCAATGACAAGGGGCTTTACTAAATAATTAATTAATTAAGTATATATGTATTAGCATACATAGGGACATTGACAAAGCTTTATTTGTATATGCAAAACATTTTCGAGCATGTGCATTGACTGATTAAAGCGTGCCTTCAGAATATGACTCATACGCCATGTTGCACAAGCAAAGGGACTTGCATTTCATTTCGCAAGTGAATGTCAAAGTCATAACAGCTTCTATGGACGTCAATGCAAGTTGTCAAAACTATTTCTCTGGCTTTCTTCCTACGCTTTCTCCTGCCATTTCCAGTCGCCTTTGTTCACTAAGCACATAACGCATACGCCATGTTGAACGCGCAACCATCGCCTGCCGCAGATTACGTTTGTTTGTTATTTTATTGACAAAACATCATGGCCAGGGTAAATGTCAGTGACATATATTACGCATACGCCGCGAGAGCAAATGGTTAAGGGGGGGCACCAAGTCCAAAGAAACTAACAAGTCGCACCACCAACCCACACCACCATACACCCACACACCCATCCACCACCCATCCACCACCCACTGGAGTTTTTCAAGGTCAGCTGGGGCCAGATGTCAAGTGAACGAGAATTTTGGCTGCTAACTTTTGCATTTCGCCCAAAAACAATTTCAACAATTTTTGCTATTCCATTTAAATCGAGAGGGTGGTCTTTTGTTTTGAGTGGTGTGCGATCCTTTTGGGAGGCCAAAACTTGTTGTCGCATCAACAACAATAGCAACAACAATGGGCTGTGTCCCGCACATTGTTACGGTTGCGGACATTTTAATTAGACTTTAGTGGCTTTTGTGGTCGCCATTGTTGTCTTGCTGCCAACTATGCACTAAATAAATTTAAATGCCAAACACACTCAGACCCACACGCACACAAACGCCAGACAAGGGGCACACACACAGATACATAGGTACTCCAGCTCAACACACACGCACAAAAGGACGCAAAGGACACTAGCTTCGCGCTTCACTACAATAAATTTAATCGCAATATAGTGAAATGATTTTATTATTTTTGTCTTCTTACAAAGGAAATGGAAAATAATATTGCACAATAAAAGATAAAAGAAAGGTAATAATTGTAGGTCTAAAAAAACTCTAACTAACAACTCTAACTCTAAATACCAAAGAATATAAAATGAAATAGTATAATTACTTGTAGACAGGTAGTCAGTGGTCAAACTATTAACAAAACAATAATAATTAATAATAATTATTAGAGCAAAAGTTCGAGCAAATATAATCCAAACACAAAACCTTATTTAGCTAATCAGCATTTCAAAAATAAAACCAAATAAAAGAGTTGTTTAACTTGGTTATGCCATAATTTATTTATGCCAAAAACCATGTGCAAAACAAGTACAGAACGATAAAAGCAACCAGATACGTGCAAGCCATTATGTTTGGGATTATTCAACCATTTCTAATCTGAGGGCACCAGCAAAATTCCATGCGAAATGTTATCTAACACAGCGTTCGTTTATTTTGTTTGCTATTCATGCTATTTTTCGAATTGTTTAGTTCTTACCGGTCTTTAACGGTTTTTTCCCCTCTTTTAATAATCTCATTTTTGTGGCTGCACAAAATATCCTTTGACTACCCAAAAAAGTAGGCAATGTTTTATGGTTTTGGGGCTTTAAGGAAAATGGGGAAAATGCTCACAGGCGACCGACAACAAATTGCTTAGTTGAATGGACAAATAGATCGTTGGATAATTATGCAAAAAGTTGTGAGCAAAAGGGCAAAGGTGCAAAAGAGAGGCGGTGCAAAAATCAACAGGCCATAATGGGTTAATTAAGGCAGGGCAATAGAAAATGGGCGAAGGTGGGATAATTTGAAACCCCGCCGTGTTGCACTCCATGAAACTGAATCATCTGTCCGCTGATTCGCCTGGTCCGCTCGTCTGTCTATTAATTAGCCCAAAGTGGATAGAGGAAATGGTGAGGGTGAGGGGGTGTGGGAAAACGGAAAATGGAAAACGGCAGAGCAGGGTTAAGCATAGCGGTCTGTGGGCCTGCTAAAATATGCAACATGCTCATTACAAGCATAATAATTAAACTCCGGAGTGCCACAAAATTCAAATATGCACTGACAGAAGTGGGGATCGAGAAGGGGTACAAATTGTGGATTGTTAAAGGGTGGAGGGGGGATTTCGGGGGTCAGTTTGTTTGCGCGATTTTGTATGACATTCATTCACGTACATGCACTATATATGTGCGTGAGTGTTTGGCATGGATTTGCGTTGTTTGCCTCGGAAGCTATGAAGAAAAACAAGCGTTCCACAAGCAAACTCAGTGCTGAACGTACCCCACTCATCCCCCCTCCCCCCGTGGTATCTCCCTTTGCCACCCCTCCCCCCTTCCCTTCCCTTGGCTACCCCCTTTGGGTCTGCGTGCAAATTAATGCGACATTTATTCATTATGCCATGAAACAGTCATAGAAGCAGCGAGAGAGAGGCGAGAGGGGCGGACTGGTTCGGTGGGCAGAGGGGTGCAAGGATAACCAGGGGAGGGGGTGCCATGGTGGGGACTGGAAGGACAAATGAAGCAGCCAACCACTCGACAGCCGGGCAACAAAGGCGATGACACACCAAAGCACAGTGGAGTCGAGTGGAACACAAATAATGAACGCATTGGTTTCCTCTTTGGTTTTTAAAATAAATTCAATTACATTTGCTCATCATACGTTCTAAAATTATTGGCGAATTTCGGCAATCAGATTTTATATATATTTTATTTTTTTTAATATTATTTATTTGTAAACATAGAACCCGTACAATCTTTAAGTACCTTAACAATGTAGAGAATATATATTTAAGTGATTAAAGCTACCTCTTGAAAATTTATTTCTCCTTTTTGTCTCCTTTCAAAGTGTAAAATTATTTTCTAAGAATTCGAAAGCTAAATTGTTTTTTTTATTTTGTTGCTATTATCAAACAATTTTTAAATTTTTCTGTACCATTGCCACAGAAATCTTCAGGGGTTTTAAATTACTTTAAAAACTCTCTGCAAATATGAAACTTTTACATTCACTTAAGCAATCTGGTCAAAATAAAGGCCTTACATTTTAAGAACCAACAATAATTCTCGCAATCAAAATCAGTTCGAATCGAGCCCACTGTGCAATGACGATAACCTCAATGCGGCGCCCACTTGAGCGCCTCTGCGCCCCTGCAAACTCCGTGGTCCGTGGTCCCCATCCGTGGTCCCCATGCCCCCAATCTTCGCGCCCCGTCTCGCTCTGTCTCTGTCTCCGTCTCTGCCGCTCTGTCCCCCTCACTCCCATTCCACAAAGTGTCGCCGCAGAGCGTCGAGGGACATAAAAAGCATTTGCGTGATTTTATTTCGCATTTTTTTCCTGCCTCTCCACTTGCTTCGGCTCAACTTTGCTTTTACCGGCGGCGCTTCTTTCACTGTTTTCAGCTTTCTGTTTTCTGCAGCCGGAGTGTAGGCTCGTCTCCGGAGATTGGCTGTGTGTGTTTGCCGAGCTTGTGTTAATTTAATCACAGTAAAAAGAATTTAATTAGTCGCGCACACAACAACAACAACAAGAGCGGCAATGCGCAACAATGGCAATAATAAAGGGCGTGCTGAATAAAATTTCCATAATTCGAGAGGCCTAGAAATGGAAACATCTGGCCTAGTCAAATTATTAACTTGACTTAAATCCTTCGCCAGGTGTGGACAATGGCCAAAAAAAAAAAATAAAGCATGAAAGCAAAGGAAGTAAGGCGAAAAAATGAAGATGCAGTGCTTCCTGAGGAGATGCAGTCCTTAATACACAGCGAAAATATTGTACAAAAACGAGTTAAGCTAAATATATAATATAAATATAAATTATAAAAAAAAAACTATTGTATCCGTAGACAAAATTGACCTAAGTGTGTAAAATCCCTCATCATTATTTATAAAAAAATGAATACCAAATATTTTGAACTTCAAGAGCCAAACAATTTGATAAATCAAAGCAATAGTGAAATGTAAATCCAAATGCAATGATTTCTGGTTATGTTTCTGTCTGTGTGTCTGCCGAAAAAAGGAAATTTCACTGGCAATTTGCGCTGACTTTTTTCGCCCGTTTGGCACCATGCACACACAACATAATGCCATTTTTATTTTAATCCTGCTTATGTGTGCCTCTAAAGCCCTGCCACCCCCTCATCCCCCATCACCACTCCCCACGTCCTTTCTTGAGTTTCCCCAAATGGCAATTCAGTCAATGACATGGCATAAAAGATCCACCGCACGAGAGGGTCACGAGAAAAAAAATGAAAAAGAATTCTTGTCTATTCAACTATGAGTAAAAACCTATTTCGCCCAGGTCATGCATGCGGATACACACAGATATATCTACATATATCTGCATATATATATCCCAAAGTGGAAGTCAATTCAAGCAGCTTACTTTTATTTAAGTAAAAGCCAAAAGAACACATATTCAGTCCTATATGTATATATATTTATATGTACATATAGCCTTTTTTTGTTCGAAATATACTTGAGATGCTATGGCTGCTGACCTTTTCTATGTTATTTTATTGTGGGGATTGTGGCGTTTTTTTCTGACTATCCACCTGAACGACGCCCACGGGCACATGTCTGTCTCTCTTACTCATCTTGCCTCTCGCTTGCTCCTTGCAGATTTCAATTTGCAAGAAGAGGCCTCCATTCCGGAGGACATATTTGACCAGCACGACGGCGACATCGGGGATGAGGACGCCGCCACTCCGCACCTGCAATATGCCCCATCTGCTGCAGCTTCCACCGCCGAGGATGAAGACGCCGGCGACGAGGATGTGGGGCTGATTCAGGAGGAGGGCGAGGACGAGGATGCATCCGAGGCGGCTGATATCGTGAGTACACACATGACTATGCACTTGCAGAAATATGCACCCTCTTATTCTATCGACATGACCCCATTCAAACAAAATATTTTTAAAATAATAATCTATTTCCTCATAGTTTTGGATCACTTAATAAATAACAGATTTTTTATAGCTTGTCTAAACATATGTATTATATTAACCTTCATCATTAAGTTTATGTTAGTATTTAAATAATATACTTTTGACCTCGATATTTAGACTTACAATATGCACATATTTTTAGTTATTACATTTTTAAAGACCTCAGTTGCATAAAATGATGGAAAATAAATATCCAAATGCTGTCACAGATTTTTCTCCCCTGCCATGACGTTTTTCTAGCACATAGCCACACACAGATGCTTTATGGAGTGCCCGAACCTACAGTCAAGTCCATTCCGAATGAGGTCAGTTCTATTGAATCAAGTGGGGGTGTCCATTGAAATGTCGCACAATGCGAGCGGCCAAGTCAAATTACTTTTTCCAGTTGAGGCAGGTGAGGAGGCCAAGCCTAGCAATAAAATTCACTTGAGCAAAAAATGAGACCAAAGTCGAGTAGAGCAAGAGCCAAGCGTTTGAAAGCGTTTTTGAAACCAAAATTTAGCCATCAAGAATATTTTCCATACAAAAGGAGAACAAAAGAAGACCCTGATAAAAACCTATAAAGCTCACAATAAAGTAAGGAACTAACAGAAATATATTAAAAACGGAAGTACACGATTAAACTAAAAATCGATAGAAACTATAAGGCAGCACATAACTAACCCATGACTGATTCATTAAAAATAATAATAGGAGCCTTAAAATAGCTTGTTCATGTAATCAAGACTAACTACTAGACTTGAAATTCCCGGAACGTGGTCTGTAATGAATCGGAAAAATCCTTTATTACTTTAAAATTCACTCACTCTATCGATACCAACGTGGCATTGACAATGTCTTGGAACTGCAATTCCCCGAAATTCCTGGCTCTCCACTCCTTTAATCACCGATTTGCAGATACTTGAGTTGAGTGGGGAAAGCAGCTGAGGGCTCGAAATGAAACTTTCATTTCATTGTCTAACTGCACATGTGCACACTCTTATCCGCAGGACCTCCTTCTCGAAAAAAAAACCCCTTAAATCCTAAGGAGAGGTTCAAGGAAAAGATTTTTTGTTTTAAGTTTTTTTTTTGAGTGAAAGGCATCTATTCTATTCTTGTGCACTGATAAATTTTATAGTAACACCATTTTTTAACTGCTTTGCAATACTTGAACTCAATTATGTAATGACGACAACTTTAAATTTATTAAGCATGCTTAAGTAAGAATTTTTTATTACCAAATAAATTTCTCAGAAATAAACTTTAACTTTCTTGCTAAAATACACATTCAACTGATTTTCCGCTCTGTGCATTGCAACTACTTGCAGATACTTGAATCTCAAAGGCCCACTTCAAGGAATTTCAGTGTTTACCTGGACGCTAAGAAATACCAAAATAACAACAAGAAGCGGTCCAAGGAGAACAAAAAGAACAATATAAGCCACTACAACTACAAATTGAAAAACAATAAAGGGAACCAGCAGCTACCAAAGCGAGTTGGCAATGAGGAAGCTGAAGCAGCCGGAAAATCAGAAATGGAGATGGCTGTGGATGTGGATGTGGGTGGCGGAACCAAATTCACTTCCGTTGAGGAGGACAACGCGAACTTTGGCAGGCAAAGTTTTGCGTATAAAAAATTGAAGAACATGCACGAACAGCAAAGTCAACAGGAGCAGCAAAAAGGAGCCAACAGGAAACGGGGCGATGATGGCGATGAGGATTTACTAGAGACATACCCGTCACAGCTGTTCGATGCTATTGAAATATTAAATGAACGAAAATTTAATAAGCCATCGCTCCAATCAACGGAGAAGACTCAGCCGAAGAAAGTGGATGAGGCCATTGGCGATATCGAGGACAATTTGGATAATGATGAAGTATTGCCCAGCGATGAAGATGAGGTGGATGGCGATGGCGATGGCGACGAAGAGGACATTAAGTCGCCCATTGACAATGATGAATTGGCCAAAAAATACCCAGTAGCCACATCAGCAAGCACCAAGGCCCCAACCACCTTGGCCACATCAACAACCACCATCGGCAGCAGCAGCAGCACCACCACAACGACAACAACATCGACAACACCAAGAACACCGCCAACAATTGGCCGCAAACTCAAGAGGAATTTCTTTGGCCAACCCCAGCCAGAAACCAGATACTATGGCAGCTATGACATCGGACGGATTCGGGCACAGGAGGAGGACACCACCGATGAGCAGGACGTGGGCGAGTTGCACTACTACGACACCAGCAGCAGTCCCAGAAAGTTGGTCAGCTTCGATCCGGAAAAGTCCGAGGAGAGTTACTTGAGCAGCTACTATGCTGACAAATTGAATGCAACCGAAAGGAAACAGCAGCAGCAGCTGCAACAGCAACATGTTGTTGCACAACAGCAACATGCAACACGTTACGTGGACGACGACTATGCCGAACAGCAGCCGCCGCCGGAAAATTCCATGGCGGAAAATCCCTGGGAGAAATCCGGCGATGAAAGGCCAGAGGAGGAGGAGCAAAAGGAATCTGATTTGGAATCTGCATTGCAGCGATATCACGAGGGTAAGTCGTTCGCACGTAAAACTGTGAAATAAGCAACTAAAAACAAAAATAAAGAGAACATTGAAATACAAACTGAATGCCGCATTGAAAGGCACAGTGTGAAGGAAAGGAGATTTATGGATATAGAAAAATATTGCATAATACTGAAAGAATATATATTTCTAAAACCAATTTCAGTAATTAAGATATTTATTAAAATAACAAGAGAAAGTTGTATAAGTTAAATCACTGGTCTTAACTCTTAAAGGTTATTTTAAATCTACGACATGGGAAATCCACTGTACTTAATGATAAACTAAAATTGTAAATTATTTGTCATGGCTTTGCAGTCAAACATTGGAAACTATCCCCTTTGTCGCATTCCATTTTCCTTTGATGAGTGAGCTCCGCAAAATGCCTAAATCAATGGGAATTTTCGGCCCCCCAAAACATCTTCTTTTGACCCACTGTTCTGAAATTCCGCTCTGAGTTTGGTTTTGCCTGGCAGTTTTCGGTTTTCGGAAGGGGACCCCACAAAACTGGACCCCAGTTAGAGATCCCATCAAAGTCAGCTATGTGGCTGTGTGTGCGGTTGTGTGTGTGTGTATGTGTGTGTGCCTACCGTAAATTGAAAATATGTAAAGGAAATCCCCAAAGCATTCTGCAGACGAAGTCCCTCAGACAGAGAGACAGATGATGGCAGGAAAATCGCTTTAATGCACATGTGCGAAATGCTCGAGCACTCTGCTTAAAGACCAAAAAAAAAACGCTAAAAGTTTGCCTGCCCCTAATTAGTTTAGTCAAAAAAAAAAAAAAAATATATGCAAATTTCTTTAAAATTTTTCTGCAAGTCAAGAAATCAAACGGAAAAAGTTTAGCTTTCCCTCGGGAGACGTGAAAACCTCCCCACTGCCCTCCGCAATTTCCTGGCATTAAACAATAAAGCTCACAAAATAGCAAATATCGTGTGTATATATATATATATATATATAGCAGCCAGCGGAAGCAACAAAATCTGTCCAGAGGATTGGCCAAGAAATGAAGTTTTCCGGGGGCGGTGGTGATGGAAGACGTGCCCTGACTAGAAGAGGAAAATGCCCGGGTTGCTTCGAGAGTTCCACCATAAATTCGTTGGTTATTTCTTAGGAGTTCTGGCACCTCCCTCGCTGGCACAAATCAAGTTGAAATGAATTTGTGTGTGGTGGTTCGAGGGGCGGGGGGTTTGGGGGGTTGGGGAACGGCGGTTTTGGGGATTTTGTGTGGTTTGTAAGGATTTCAGGACCAACATTGAGCTGGGTCAAAAAATAAAGAAGGGCAAGATTAGCGGCGAGAGTCGTACATACCCTACAATATTATATTTATGCTTAAGGCACAACGGAACTTTATAACCTAGGAAGATAGGGAATTAAATCAAAAAAGTCTGGGCTAAGAAGTTAATTTTTTTGCAAAGCCAGGGTCACTAAAAACCATCTGTAGCTAAATATAAATGAACTAAGTACAGCTGTAAAATAGAATAAAATAATTGATCATGTTATAAAAGTAAAAAAAATAAATATAATAATATTGACAAGAAATGGTCTTTTTGAGGATGTTAAAAACATCAGAACAAATCATATCAGCACTTAACTGTTGGGTACTTTAAAGTAAAGAAAAATAAATTGTTTATATTTGTCAAACTTGATGCGTGTTTAATATACCCCATTGGCTTTTTTGCAGGGCATTGGACAAGAGAAGCTCTTGTTGTCCGTTGGCCTAATAGAAATCTATTACTTCCGAGCCTTAAAAAGCGTGCCGAGACTAACAAAGATATTCTTCTGTCCTCTTTTCGCCCCATAGCTAGCATGGCCACGCCCACCGTCACCACAGCCGCCCCCTCGTCGGCCTTCGAGCGTTTTAAGGCGCTGCGGCGGAGTCGCCAGCGGACGGGTCACAGGAGTCACAAGAAGCGGTACAAGGACTATCTGAAGCGGCAGCATCCGCAGAAGGAGGCGACATCGCCTCCGGAAATAAATCCACCTGCGACCATTTCCACCAGGCACCTGGAAAAGTTGCAAAAGGAACGGGAACGATCCACGCACTCGGCACCGATCTTTGCCCTGGGATTGCGACCCCAGCGACCTTTGGTGGCCACCGGGAAACCATTCTACGAGGGACAGGTCAACTACTACGACAACCAGCAGCAGTTGGATGTGGATCTCAAGCATCACACGGAAATGGAGCGCTTGATCGCCCACGACAATGGCAATTGGTATCGCCGCATCAGTCCAGTGTTGAGAAACGGCGTTAAGAGTGATCCGCCGGCGAAGGACCACCATGGACATCATCACCACCACAGTGGTCATCTGGGCAACCACCATCATCACCACCATCACAGTCACGGTCATCACAGCGGCGGACATACCACCCACCACCATCATAGCCACCAGAAGTCGAGTCACCTGCGACCACGTCCCAGTAATCCCTACCAGCGGAAGGTTCCGTCGGGAGTTGGTGCGCCCAGTGCACCACCACCGCCACCACCGCCGACTCCACCGCTGCCGCCACCGAAGCCCCAACTGGGACATCAGATTACGGAACTGGAACATCTGGAGCGGTACTACGCCAAGTGGCCACATCTAGCCAGGGTGCAGTTCCAGGTCTACGACGAGCACTACCGCGAATCGCATCCCGAGCTGTACAGCGACTACGAGGATGACTACGAGAGTGCCGCCGAACTGGAGGAGGCCCAGCAGGAGCGGGGTGAGGAGGCCAACCTGCCGCCCTACATCAAGAAGTACAACAGGCGGAACAAGCAGCTGCTCAATCTCCTCGAGGGCACCCTGCCCACGCCGACCAACAATCCGGGCAACTCTCCATCGGGCAGCACCGAAGCCGTGCGCCTGGATGATGAGTATCTGAAGGAGAAGAGGCGTCGCTACCACCAACATCAGCGATTCGAGGATTTGTTTGCCCAGCAAAGGAGTCGCTTGAGCACCACCCAATCCACACCGAAACTGGAGGTCACCGTGTCCAAGGAGGAGAGCTCGAAGGATGTGGGTTTTAAGGTGGATCCAGTGACTTCAACAGCTGCGCCCAGCAATCAGTTGCCCGAGGAAGATGCTCCCGCTGTTTCTGGCGAGGAACCGGCAGATCCTGCACCCGATGCCCTGGACTTTTGGCAGCGGGAAATGGCCAGCAAGGCGGGTAGGGTGGGAAATGCAGCGGGAAATCAGCCAGCCACAACAACCACGCCCAAGCCGGCGCTGTTCAAGCTACCCTCGTATCCCGCCATAGCCGGGAGTTTCCTGGGCACACCGCGCAGTCGCAGCCGGAGTGCCCAGTTTGTGGCCAATGTGGCGGGCAGGGGTCAAAGTCAGGGCAGTTGGCCACGTTTGGAGACGGGTAATTCCACGGAGAAGCCAGCTGGCGGGGGAACCACCGACGGAGGAGGTGCAGGGGGCGGTGGCGGTGGCCGGGGAGATCCCTCCCCCCTGAACTCCTTTGTCTACCATCGCGTGGTCGACGGCATTGGCCCGGGCGGAGCAAGTGGCTCGGCCATTTCCGGGTTCGTCGGCAGCAGTAGAGGCAAACAGTCGCGACTGCCGTTCGTGGCCATCACGGATCGACGGCTGGAGAAATCGCTGGCGGAGCGACACAAAGACTTTGAGCAGAATCACTTTCCGATGCCTTAAGCCGCGAATTTTGTGCAGCAGTGGAAAAGCTGGAAAAGCTAAAGAGAGAGAGAGAGAGAGAGAGAGGAAAAATAAAGGAAAAATTAACGATGAGTTGGTAGCTGTGGGTGGAAGGGGAATTATCGGGAATACCAGATAATACAAAAAATAAGAACCCTTAAACAATGACTCAATTTGAAAAGTTTATTGAGGAAATGTATATCAGCAAACAAACAGCTGTATTTAAAATTTATAAAGTACACATTTGTCTGCTTTTAAAAATTGAAAGTTAGTAAGATATTTTTAACGTTTTTGGGAAGATAATTCTATTTAGTGAGTGAAAAACCCTTTTATAAAGTCGAGTTACACATACACCATTTTATTTTGTTTGAATTCAAAACACCAACTTCAATTTGTTTACCCTTAAAAATTTCCGAATTTGTATTCATGCAGTTTTAAAAAAGTATTTTCTTCTTTTTAATACGAATATTTCGAAACTTAAGAAGCTTGTTTAAAAATTAAGTTGACAACTTCAGACTGATATTATAAAAATGTTGTATAATTTTTTTTAAATTTAGAGTATAATGTGTTTAAAAATATTATTTAAATGCATGCTGAAACTTTTATGGGAAATCCAAAACCGTTTTTAACCGTTTCAACCACAATAAACCGATGCGATAAACGGGTTCTTGCCCTTACTTAATAAATACGATTGTGTTATACCGATTCCCTTTTCCAGACATGTTACCAACTCAAAATCTAAACATAATTCTAGTACTATATTATAGTCGCCGCTTTCGGATGTATTATTTTTGGTGTTTTATGTTTTACAAGGAACGAAAGAAGCGAATCAATGGATATAGAGATAATTGTCGAAAACGTTTTTTTTTGGTGTGATGAATATATAAAAAACATTAAACGGTAAACGTTAGAAAAAGTAAACATTAAAATAAAGTGAAAATACAAAAAAAAAATGAAATGTAAAATTAAAATTAAGCGAAAAACTTTTTTTGTGTATAAATAGCGAAAAACACCTGTAGACACACACATATATACAAAACACACATACAGACACTCAAAGAGCTGTTAGAAATCAAAAAGTGATAGCCTAAAAAATATTCGAATAATTTATTCCTTAGTTTCGATTGGTGTTTTATGTTTTAGAAAGCATTGCTTTTGGGTGTAAAGTAGCTGAAAATTAGAGGAAATTGTTAGAAAAAGCGCCTCTCCACACACAGATATTTACACACTGAATGCTTTCCTTTCGCCCCTTGCACGCAAAATCCATCGAAATAGGTTTCAAAATTAAACGAAAAACAATGAAAACACAATAAAGGTAAAACGAAATTAAGCAGAAGACGACGGACAATGTTGCACAAAACTTTAAAAGTATTCAATTAGCCAGAACAAAACAAGCAATAAGTTTTAGTGGTCAATAGAAAAGCAGACGAACAGAAAACAAAGTGTAAAACAACATATCAAGGCAGAGGAAAAACAATTATATATTTAAAAAAAAAAAACTTTGCTTCGGGCCGACAATTGAAGAAAATGGAAATAAGGGGAAATTTAAACTGTTAGTTTACAAACTTTTTCATAATTTGTTTGCTATTTTTTTAACCAAACTAATGACTATCATATTAAATACAAAAAAAAACCTAAGTATTAATTTTTTTTGCCATTTTAATTCTTGTTAAAGTATGCAACGTAAATTGAAATACAAATTTTCACAAGATAGTTAACAAGATATGATTTAGTAAGAATAAATTTGGAGAAATAACTGAAAAATTCTAATGAATACTTTTATTATTTTTATGTTTTATAATATTTTTACAGTCTTCCCCAAGCTAAATTTTTATCTGTGGAAAGGATGAAGCAAATATAACATAAATACACCCACACACAGTCGATTCAGAAATAACGAACGGGCTACAACAAAAAAGAAAATAAAAGTGCAAAAGGAAAATGATGAAAAACTCTGACAAATTTCCCCCCAAAAATAAGTCGAGAACTTAAGAAATGAAAAATACTTTGTGTAGGAATATAAAAGAAAACAGCAAAGGATAAAATGCATTCCCAAAAAGCTTTAGCCGAATTACAAGTTTATACACACGCACACCCACACAAAGTATGTGAGCGAAATTAAAAAAAAATTTCATAAGCAAGGCGAATGATAAAGGAGAGGGCAAAGGAGAGTCGTGGAGAAAGGGGGGAGAATGCAATGCGGTGTAATTAACATATCAAAAGCGAAACGTGCTGAAGAAAAAATGGCAAAAGCGCCAAGCAATTAAAACTAAGCGCAGTGGCAAATATTTCTCAAACTGGATTCATAAAAAGTAATTTCATTTCATACAGAGCTTCCTTGTGGCTCAACTTTAAACTTTAATTTTTCAAATACTTTAAGTTGAAGGGAAAGCGCAAAACCCGATTTTAAATTTACCGGATTTGCAGAAATGTTCGCCGTTTGTTTGTTGTACAATTTAATTGGAATTTGTGTTGAAATGAGAACAGGAAAAATTGAGGCACAGCGGGTAAATGAACAGTATAATGGAAAATCCTTCAAAGGTATCAGCGTATCAAAAATACCAAAGAAAAAAATGCAAAAAAAAAAAAGAAATGGCAACACAAAACCACACCAACATATACATGTATACACTTCTCATTATGTGGTAACATTTTAATGGAATGAAATTCAATAAAGCAACAATTTATTATTTACGCATAATCATGGGCTCGTTTCTTGTTCTTGGCATGGGGAACTTGCATGCCGCCATTGGCAGCCATTTAAATGCAAATGAAATATTCAGCAATTAACGCGCTTTTCCCTTGGAATGGCGGTCATGTGTGTGGAAAACCTCCCTAGGGCCATTTTACCTTGAACCTATTTGTGGAACAACAATGAGAACGATCAAGTGTTCGTAGCGCATTTGAATGCTCAATTAAAGAAATTTCTGACAACTCAAGGGGTTTATTTACCAGATGGTAGTTCGTTTAATTATATATTTATACTTTCCCATACCACATTACTAACTTCAACTTAACATTATATTAAAAATTGATTTTTATAACGAAGTAATTAAAATAGAAACATACTCCAAAATAGTTTAAAAGCAAATTACAATTTTAAAATAAGAAAATTGGAGATGCTCCACTTAAAATATTGAAATATCATATTTTTGATTTTAAACTTATGGAGATTTAAAAACCCAAAAAAAAAAGAAACAAATTTTTGGACTTCTAGAAATAAACATTTTCCAGATGAAAAGGCCCCTTTTATTTTATTATTCGGGCTTTCTCTCATATAAATATTTGTACATTACTCTCCAGTAGAATGATATATGCCATATATCCCATTTAAACCGATCAGAGCGGGACGGGGAGAAGAAGTGAGGGAGACGGCAGGTCATTTATCAATCGCAACGGGCGTGCATTTAATTACTTAAACGTTTATCGAATAACGGCCACGCACAAATCACCGGCAAACTGAAGCATAAAGCCCCCGTCGAGAAAGAGACGGGGCGATTCGATAAGAGAGAGACGGCTGCTGCAGTGATGCATTTGTCGCTGCAGTTTTTCAATTACGACGGCAACGTTTTATTTCACCTGTTTTTCACCTCTTTTTTTTACTCGCTCACGTGCCAGGGGTGAAAATCTGTCAGTTGATTTGCATAAAATGTTGCCGCACTCCATTGCGCTTTATTTGTATTTTATTTTTATTTTTATTTTTATTTCTATTTTTATTCTTATTTGACTTTACTCTATACGTCGCTGCACACTTGCCAAATAATTCCAATTCAATTTGCGAATCTCTCTTTGAACTTTCGAGGCAGTTTCAGTTTCCACAAGTCTCCGCCCGAAATAAAGTTAAAATAAATGTTGGCGATCGTGGAAAGTGCCAGGCAGTCGACAGGCAAGCACTTCCGCTTCCCCCGTTGGTTACAGGGTATCTTGGCGAGAATTTAAATAGACACGTAGTCGGAGACCAGACAGCCAAATGGAGACATTGCAACTGAGGGAGTGGAGCTGCCAAAACCGCCGACTCAAAACAAAGTCCCGTAGCGGCAACATATCACTAAAACAAAAAATATATAAAAACCTTTACAAAGGGTAAAATGGTTATCAAAAAAATATTTTTTAAAGAGTTTTTCTAAACAAGTACAAAATCAAGAGGCATTATTTCTGTAAACATAAACAGTAAAACATTTTTGAAAAGAAGTAAAATAAAACCATTAAAAACAAACTCACAAACTGTAACAAAAGTTCATAAAAAAAGGATCTACAAGTTATAAAATATATTTGAAATCAAAGAAGTCCAATAAAAAAAAGTTCTGTTTTTTAGAGCATACTTTTAGGCACCTTTTAAAACATTCTAAATTCCTATTTGCTATCACAAGACTTTCTATTCGCATAAAGATATTTGCAAGAATGTACGCTATTTGTAACAAAATAAAGCTTACCTATAATACTATTTTTGCAGTGCATCAATGTCGTCAAGATGGTGGCTCAAGTTGAAGGCAAACTGCTTGCGGCGCTCTTTTCGAAGCGATGCAGAAAATACAAGGAGCAGGACCAGGGGCAGAGGGGCATAGGTGGAGAGGTGGAGACATTTTCCTAGTCGTGCCAAGTGCAGCAGCATTCCTTGTACCTACGTGTGTGGCCCCGTCTGTCCAAGAGTTTTCCCGTCTGTTTGTCTTTGCCGCTGCTTTAGTTTAACTCGATGTCTGTCTGCGTATGTTTGTTCTTCACTAAGAGAAATTTATTTTACTTAGGAAAAAATTAAATAAAAAAACTTAAGCCATTTATGACTCGAAATTTAAAAGCAATTAACTAATCCAAAAATCTGAAATAAAATACCTCAAAAGCTTAGATTTTTGTTAACAAATTTATTAACAATCTTGTTGTTTTTTAGTTCCGAAATAAAAAGTAGTCTATGAAATGAGATTAACATTTTGTTCCGTGTGTTCTTGTAGTTTTGGCTTAGCTGTAGTTTACCACAGCTTTTCCTGAACTTTTTTTTGCCTGCATTTTCCATGTGCGACAAAGTCGCACACAAACGAAGATGGAGAAAATCACGTAAACAGATTTTTGTTGTCTCAGCAACCATTCGCATATTTCGACTACTCCGCACGTTTCCACGTTTTGTTTTCCTCAGCCAGGCATTTTCAATAATTAAACATTTGTGTGCGAAATGGCCGCGTAGAGTTCCCTCTACTGTGAAATCCAGCAGCGCACTTTTCATCCGATTTTCCCCGAAAGTTTTCCAAGTCGCTAAACCCCGGAGGTTCGCTGTCTCGCAATCATAATTATAATAATTATAAAAACAATAATTAAAGCACATAAGTACTGCGCTTGTCGGTATTTTCGGTGTCGGCAGGGGGGGAAAAAGGAAAATATTTAATTGAAATTTTAATAGAACCTTAAGCCGGGCACGTAGCCCAAAACGGGGATAACTGCCATTGCCTTTGTTTGTTTTCCTTTTCCTTTTTCCTTTGTTTTTTTTTTTGCTTTGCCTTTTCTTTTGGGCCGGTGAGCAGAGTCTGAATTTTTGACAAGTTAATTAGGTTGTTTGTCGCTTGCTCCTTTTGCCCCTCGCCTTTTCCGGATTTCTCTATTTTCGCCTTGTGTATTTTCAGAGGGCGAGGTATATTTTAATGTACTTGTGATAAAGTCCTTTTAATTGCTGGCAGACAACACCTTATTTCAGCTCAGCCCAGCTTACCTCAACTCATCTCTGGCAGGACTTGAATGTCCTTTGGTCAGCACAAACACACTCACACCTACACACTCAGAAAGGCACCCACATACCAACACACATAGCCTCCAGGCAGACAGTCAAGTTGTCAAAGTGGCAACAAAATTAAGCATACGCCATGTGGCCCCGCCTGAAGCCTGGCAAGAGAAATAGTGGACAAAAAGGGAAATGAGCAGCATGGCAGTGTGGTAAAAATACAAAGATAACTAGAAGTGGGAATTTAACCAAAGCAAAATTGTTTAAATACGAAAATCCCACACTGGAGAATACATTTTCCACAAATGTATAGTATTCATTTAAATAAGTAACAATTTATTTATTTTGACCAACTTGCTACCTGCATTTATAATAATAAAACAAGTTATATTTTATTGCCTTTTATAGATCATCAATCAAATTCATTATATACTACACATTATACATTATCAATATTTCTGTATGCTATTTAAGTAATAGTAAAACATTTTTAAATTTTATACTTTAATGGTAATATCAGAACATGTTTACTCTAACTTAATATTTTTCCCAAAACCAATTGTAATCAAAATTCTAGGCGATTTGAAATGCTTCAAAGAATTTATACTATTAAAGTTGCCATAGTTAATGAACCACAACACTTCCGATTTTCATATCCGAAATGAAATTCCCGTCATTGTGAGACAATGTTCGTTGCAGGACTCTGCCAGGATAACCATCCATCTGGTACTATGTCCCGTCCCTTTTTTGCCCCACTGCGGTTTCCATTCTCCTCCAGTGGTGTCCATGTGGTTCTCCTGGCAGCTCCGCCCGAAAAAAGGCAACAGACTGTCACGCTGTATGAACGACCTCAAACGAGAATTTTGTGGGCGGTTTTTTTGGGGACGGTTTCGATGGAGGGTAATGTAAAACCGGCACGACTGACTCCACCGCATTTGATTTCTTTTTAATTTTCGAGCGTCTTTTCGGCGCTATCCGCCCTAGAGCTTTATATTTTTGTTATTTAAGAGCCAGACAGCATTTGCATAACGCTTTGATAATTAAATGTAATTGCTTCACAGCCGGCAGGCTGGGATCCAAGTATCTGATTCACTTTCGGTTTATTTTTGGTGGAATTAATGTCGTGTACTTAAAGCGGTGCCATGTTGATTTGTATTTTAGTCAAATATTCACTCCCCCCCCCGAATTCCCATCCTTGTTATCCCTATTAAATTAGTACCATTTTTATGACAAATAATTACTTTTTATGCTCACTTGATAATTGCGTTTTGGAGAGCTCTCGCGCAACTCTAACTAATTCGAAACCCCTAACATTTTCCACGCTTACATTTTTAATGATCCTGCCCATGCTGCGTATACGCAATGGCATTTCAATTAAAATGTTTTTACTTGCTGAAAAGTTGCTGGGAGGGGCTAGCAGTTAATCCATTTTGATATCCGGAATCCGTTCGCTAATTAATCAACTTATATCTGTGGCTCAACTAGAAGTACAGTTGCTGTCCTGATTTTCAACCCTCAATGGGGTTTTACTCTTTTATCGCTATTTTGCCCTGGAGGGATGGCTAATTTACTAATGCATTGAAGTATTCAGCTGAAAATGAACTTGCTATTAAGTCAAGTGCCATGCAAAATTGTGAAGAGGAATCTGTAACACAATTCCTGGATGTTTGAAATCAATTAAAATTAATTATTAATAATTAAGACTGATTCAAATCTAATAAAGCGACATGATAACTAAGAAAATTGTTTGAAAATAAAATAGCCCTTTGCTTTTTTTCGAGGAAAAAATAATACAAATTGAAAGCGAAGTTTTGCAGTAAATTCCAGATATATTTAACTAGTTAAGTTAACTGGTTAGCATTTTCCCTGACCACTCCCCATTTTTACCGCCGCCCATTTCTCTCTGGTTAACAAACAAGTTCCGTTCGACTTCGAGTTGGGGGATATAATAAATTTCTCATAAAGCAAATTCAAAACGAAAAAGAGTTGAAGCCGAA